CTCTATTTAAACTAAATAAATTAAAACAAAATCAAGGTAAGGCATGCCCATACATGTAAGGTAAGATAAGCCAGTTCAGTTTATGTACATAATTCACTAGAGGTTAATTTTACCATAATTTGTTTTTTATTGAAAACGAGAGGAATGCTGTCAAAAGAAAAGCCACGCCAAAAATATTAAAACCATTATTTTCATGGATAAGGAAGCCTAACAAGGTAACCAAGAAGTAAGAAACAAATTGGATGATAAATAATTGTTTTGAGGGTATCTTATGGCTGATGTAAGACACGGCTTGGCACCGACCCATCTAACATAAGAGACAGGAACAGAAAGCTATCATAGGCCGAAGGTTAAGCATGTTAAATAAAAGGCAGCTGGATAATTCCCTATAATGACACACTATAACAAAATCAAACGTGACGTGAAAACGTTTCACCTGTTTAATAGACCTCGATAAAAATGTCAGAGACGTCTACGACAAATGCAGATTGTTGACTAGTGGGGAAACTCTGCCTTTTGGGAACTGAAATGTAAAACTACAGCATCGCAAAAGGGTGCTGTACGTCTTTAAAAATATTTCATCGAATGAATTTCTTTTTTTCAAAGTAAGATGTACAGATGTTTCAAAATGTAACATGAAAGTTCTTCAAAGTAAGATGTACAGATGTTTTAAAATGTAACATGAAAGATGTACAGATCGATGTTTTAAAATGTAACATGAAAGTTTTTCAAAGATGTACAGATGTTTTAAAATGTAACATGAAATTTCTTCAAAGTAAGATGTACAAATGTTTTAAAATGTAACATGAAAGATGTACAGATGTTTTAAATTGTTACATGAAAGTTTTTCAAAGTAAGATGTACAGTTGTTTTAAAATGTAAGATGTTCTGGTGTTTTATTTTCCAGACGCGTTATACGAAAACGTTTTGTTACGTGTATGCAGCGCAAGCCTGTTCGTACAAAGTTTTATGCATTCATTTTGCGAATCAGTTTTGAAATCTAATATGAACGTGCCTTTTATTTTACAAAAACAAAGTTGTAAAAATTTTGTAGGCTTTTTATCAATGAAGATTTTGTTAATGTAACATGAAGTTTTTTATTTTCAAAGTTGCACAAGGGTTTTAAAATGTAACATGTATACGTGTGTTTTATTTTTCAAACTTGTACAAAAATGTTTGTGTACATTTATCAAATGATTTTTAAAATGTAACATGTACAGGTGTTTTATTATTCAAAATAAAAATTGTACATATGTTTTCTTATATGTATGCAGCACGGTCATGTTTTTAAAATGTTCTCTCGTCGCGCCGCAACACGGAATCCCTCGTGCTCAGTGCCATTGTGTCCGACATATTATGAATGAATGAATGCCTTTTTATTGTCACTCTACACATGTGCAATGAGAATAAAAGCAGCTCCTCCAGTGTAAACAAGTAGAACACACAACAAACACATACATATGGAAGGAATAAATAACTGCATAGGTTACTACCGCCTCCATTTCCCTTGCTTACCAATAGGTGGTAAAGAAAGAAAATGAAACTTTGTTCGCTTTTCGCTCAGAAATCTCACTGCAAAGTGGATGACGACTGGTTCTGTTCAATTAGGCCTAAGTTTCATTAAAAGTCAAACACGGTGCAGCTCAGTTACTACTGTTAACTTAACATGCCGTCCTCAGTAAACATCTCATATCAGGCGCCCGGATGCCTTAAGCATAGGTCGCGGGGTCACCTTGTAGGAAAACCATTTACTGAAAAGGCGTCTTTATTAAAAATAACTAAGGCTTTATTCTTTAAAGTTTTTAATGTGTTTTAATGTGACTGCTAAATGCAGTTTACAAGCTCCTACTGTTATAAATAAAATGCTATTAATAAACCAGGTGCACTCGAAGTTACAGCTTTTGATGCTTCAGCTAAAAAACAATTTTGGAAAACTGAGCATATAACGAATGGAAAGAATGGTTACAGATTCGTTGATACACAAAATGCTGGTGGATCGTTCTTTCACGGCGGTTCTTTCTCTTGCGATGGACCTGACCCTACACTGGGTACATGGGGACCATTGCTGAAGTAAGGATCTAATGCGTAGCTA